GTTGGGGTTTTTTAATCTGGGCACAGCTAACTCTTGTCACCTTCTTGATTAATTTGAATCTCAGGTTTTTTAAACAGAAAGTGCAGTGACAACTCCGTCAGTGGCTTCTTACGAATGAATAAAATAAAGCCATGTCAAAATGCATTTCAACTGATAGCAAAACAGCGTTTTTAATGAATCTCCAAAGCTTTTGGTAACTGAGCTGTGTGTTTGCAGTGTGCAGTCTCCCAGCTGTACACTCGAGGGGGAAACACACACAAGACACCGTGGGAAGTGGAGCTTTTGCATTGACTCTCACGCACATTGAGGAGGTGCCTGCTCTGCACTGCTCTCTGTGGGGTGGCTGCACTGAGCTGATTTAAGCTGTCTCAGGGACTGTTGTTGAGCTTGGGGACTGTCCCTCTGACTAGTCACAGCAGCACAGCCACGGGGGCTCTCAGCTGAGTGAAGTGCTTGCATGGGCAGAGGAAAATTCAGGAGTCAGAGCCAGGGTTTGTGATCATATTGTGATGGGGGGAGTGGGGGCACTGGTGGGAATGAGGGTATCGGCTGGGGTGCTGAGCATTAGTAGGGGTGCTGGGCATGGCATTAGGGGACTCACTTGAGGCTTTTTTTACTGCCACAACCTGACCGATTTCTGAGGAGTGTGTCTGCACAATGCTCTGCCTGGACACTGCTCCTGGCAGCAGAGGAGGGTCATTTATGAGAGAGTCAAAAACCTTGCTAAAATCAGCTGTGTGATATTTCTTATTTCCATGCTATCTGCAGGATGTGTCTATTCAGAGATTGAAATTACCGTGGTCTGACACAGCTTGCTCTGGATAAGGCCCTGGTGCCCATATGCATCTGCTTGGCTGCTCTTTGATGGTACAGCTCCTTCATTCAAGTCCTTTCTCCTGCATTTTCACTAGCACGGGTGTGAACTAGACTGGGCAGCAATTCCCTGCCCCTCCTTGCCTCCATAACTTGCCCAGGCAAGTGACCCACCAGCCATGGAGGTCTCCATTACCTGACAGAGAAGAAAAAAAAAGGCAAATGGGCTTCATATGGAGGGACAGGGCTAGGACAGGTTTGTCACTGCACCATCTGGCACAGCATGTCCCTAAAGCACGAATTGCAGGGAGCTGGGAGGAACAGGTGGACTAGGCATGACTCATGAGGAAACTTCCCCTTTTTCCTTTTCCCACATTTCTTAACCTCTGAGTGTTGCCAAGGGCAGGCTGGAGGGGGGCTGTGGGGCTGTGGCTGTCAGTGCTGTTCCCACAGAAAGCTCCACACCCTGGCCTGTGTTCCCCCCCATTTACCAACATTGCTGCAGGTGCTCCCCAGCAAACCCATGGGCAGCGAGTGCTGCTTGCAGCCCAGCAGCACAGCCCTGAGGCTTTGGCTTCATAAAAAGCTGACAGGGAACCTGCAAGATAATGAAACTTTCGCTGTTTGACACACAGTTAAGAATTAAAGAGGGAAAAGTGTGCAGTTGGGATGCATAGGGAGAGAACAAAATTTACTGAAGCTAAAAGTGAAAGTGTTATGTTAATGGAACAAATTAGCAACTAAAAAGAAAAAAAAAAGTGGTAGCAGAGAGATTTAAAGGAAATTGGAAATTGGTTCCAACATGATACTTTGCTCTAATTGTGTGCAGAGGTGTCTTGATGCAAAACAAAACCATTCAGAAATGACCTCCCTGAGTTATTGTGCAACCTAACTGGGAAAAAAAATCTATCATACTCACAGCAAGTTTGTTTTTACGGATCTTGTGCCTCTCAATTACTTTTTAATGGTCTGCATTGAAAAGGAATTCCTGTATGCACACTTGAGAATATGAAAACACCCAAATGATAGCTTATGATTTAGTAGGATTAAAGTATTATGTATGCAGGTGTAGCACGTTTCAGGTTATTAGCAATCCAATCTATTTTTTATGACATTATGGTGTAATTTTCTGTATGGAACTTCAATATAAGTCTTGAGCTGTATCGGAACATAAACTAAAATGTTCCTGACTCTGTCACTTTTCATGGTCTTTACTTTGATTAATAAATGCAACAAGAGCTATAACGTTCTTCAATACGAGGCTAGGATCATCCTTCAATCAAAACGTGTCCCTCAGCTTTTTATAACTTTTTACATCAATATGTAGGGCTTGAGCAGGAGCAGTGACAGGATTTCATTGCAGCTGAGCACATATAGCTCAGAGGCTCTGCAGAGGATGAGCCTCTTTTTTTGCTGGCTGCAGCCAGCTGATCTCCTTGGCATGGAGAGCAGTCGTGCCCTTGGAGACTCGGTGTCACCTGCGGAGAGCTGGGAAGCAGAACTGGACAAGAACTTGACACCTCAAATTTTTAATCTTACCTCACTGGGCACTTCATTCAGAAAACAAATTTTTGAAATGCACCCCAGGTTTGGTGTGGAGCTCAGGAGGGAGGGGAGGTGAATTGCAGGGACAACCTTTGGTGTAACATTCAATAACACAATCTTGTGTCCGCACAGCCTACAAGTCCTGACAAATGTAATCCAAACTTGGGCCTCAGGATGTAGCCAGAGTGCAGACAGGGAGGAAGGATGTATGCTTCAACTCCTCATCTCTGCTCAAGCAGCTGAGTGGATTTTGCATTGCTGTTGGCCATCAAGGTCAGGAGGAAGCTCCTCAGTGTTCTTGCTGACCCATCGTGCCAGTGCTGTCAGGAGCCCCAGCCACGAAGGGGAAATAACTCACACACTTGTCAGGTTGGTCTGTTTTATTTCTGAATTATTCTTTACATTGTACAATATATAAAAATACAGAGTACCCAAAAAAAATTCACAGTGTCTAAAGGCAGTGATTACAGTCTAGGTCACCTTTATGCTAAAGTACCATCAAGTTCGATTGCATAGGAAGGGTGATGTGCCTTCACAACAGAGTCCAATAATACTCTCCAGGTTTTGTAATTTTGGGGCAAGCATTCTGTGTTGGCATAATCATTTCCCATGTACCCAAGATCCAGTATTGCATCTGTCACTCTCCCACCTCAACTACAAGCTAAATCCTATCATTTCCACCTCACGTGACATCCTCCCTAAAGCTTCCTCTGTAGGAATGCTCCTATTTAAGCACATTACTTTTAGATATGGGCAGGTTTGGATGCTGTCTAAGGAGGGGTGTGGATGGAGAGCACACTGCCGAGCAGCTGGCCGGCTTTTACATTGTTTGACATTTTTGTACTAATAACATTTTTGCTCCAGTTATTAATGGCCCATCCACGCCGTCCTCTGCTTGACTCTGCGGCCTGCGAATCAGCAGCATCCTGCTGGATTACAGAGCTGTCAGAACCAAGAGTGCAGCATTAATACTTTTCACAATCAGATTTGTTTAAAACCAACTCGTGGCTGGGACCTGCAGAAAGCCAAATGCTGCTCTTACAGCACTGAACCCTCTCGAACAGCAGGGGTGAGTTTGCAGCTGAGGCTGGAGGCAGAATGTTAAAAATAACAGGTTCAAGACCCAAACTTACGTTGAATGCAATTGAGCACTTATAGTTGTGACTATGTAAATAGTGGGTTGCTGGTTTTGCTCCTCTAAGCAGGACTAATAAACACGCTAATATTTCCCAAAGGGTCCAAAGGAGGAATTTCCAGACAGAACAGCTGAGTCTGGGTAAATCCAAAAGGACCCAGCTCCAGAGGGGTTTCTGCCCAGTTTTGCTCTGGCAATCAGGCAACATAAAATTGGACAGAAACCTCTTTCACCTACCCCAAAACTGCTCTTGAAGCCACCTGATGTTTCCTCTTAACAACTTTAAGGGAAAGATTCACCTGTTGGACTTTGGCTTTGGTCATGAGGGCATTGCAATGTGATTTGTTGGAAAAAAAAAAAAATTCTTCAAACCCCATTTATTGGGTATTTCTCTCTTATACCAGGCAGCTCCAAAGGGTGCTGTGCCCTGCCGTGCATAGGGGCTGGCTCGTGGGATTGACAGGGCAAGAAATGGATGCGGAGCCTTGGCCGCTAACACAGAAAGCTCCAGGGACACCCAGGGCACCAGGTGCCTGACTCCCATGGCCCTGTGGCTTTTTTTGGAGCCCTCTGAAAACCAAAACCTATGGGTTTGCAGGCTTTTTATTTTCCTAAATTTTGTACTAAAGCCTCCTAGTGTGACGATAAGGCAAGGCTTGTAATGCAGATCAATAACTCAGAAGGCAGTTACTGACTTCTTAAACATGGAAGATGACAGTTTTCCTGTTCTAACAAATGATGTCTTTCGCTCTAATGGTACAAGATTTGTTACTCCTACTTGCTATTTTAATTTTCTTTGCACGATTACTCCCTACTTATAATTAGAAAAACAATAGAGGGATACACATGAGAAATTTGGGAGGCTTATTCTGAAAATATAAGCAGTAACAAGTATCTTTTTCTTAATCACTCTTAACCAGAATAATTCAGGGGAGATTCAGCATTTCTAACTAGAAAAATCAATGTATTTTTCAATTAAAAAATTATATTTCATTTACCTCAAAAGTGGGTTTTTAAACCTAATAGAAAGGATAGTAGATTTTTACAGGGTTTTTTCTTCACTTTGTCCCTGTGGTATTTGAATACCAGCACCGCCTTTCTTATTCTAAGTTTCCTCTGCAGGCATTTTGCTTAATATATATATTGCATGTATATATTATAAATATATACTGTATCTATCCACTGATAGATGTATACACTGTTACAAAAAAAGAGTAAGTTGTTACACAAACTTTACATTTACATTTTTTTATATATATATTTTTAGATATATATATATATAACTCTCCCCCACTACTTTTGGTACAAAGAATAAATCAATCTCAATGGACAGCAGTTTTCTCTCCAGGTGGGCTGAACATCAGATTCTCACTGGAGGCATCAAATTGTCTGTGCCAGACACGGGCTCCATTCCTGCTCTCTGTTGATTTCAAACCAAACACTTCATTTTCTGAACGTAAGGCATTAGGAACAGTGGTGGTGAGACAATAAATGTTCAGTTCATATATTTAAGAGCAGCCCTGGCTCACATGCTGGAACATTCAAAGGCACCCTTAGAGCGACAGCACCTCTTACGTGATGGTTTCATCATCAAGTGGTTTGTTTGTTAGTGAGCAGCACAAGGTATTCCTGGTGCGTGACAGCTGCTCAAGGAAAGCCTGACAGCAACAGCACAACACAGCCTGGATAGCACCATCATGCACACCCCTTTGGCTTTTTTCACTTCCATGGAAAAAGAAAGAATGGCCTAATTAAAGATGTTTCCACTACACACTTGGCTGTAGGATTTCCATCATATTTCACACACTGTATACCTGAATACTACCCAAAGGGTTTGCAGAGACACAGTGTCTCCAGACCTACACAGAAACTGCTCAGGGTTCCCCTTCTGTCTTAGAAGTAAAAGAAAAAAAATTATATGAGTCTTTTGGAAAACAATATTCCCACAGGAAATGCATTTCCAGTGTACTTGGAGATGGCTTTAGGAATAGGAAATTTTAGCAAGTTTAACATCCAGTTGCAGGGGCAATTCAAACTGATACAGATATTACAGACCTGATGCTCAAGGTTCTGAATTACCTGGATTGCAAGATATCACTGCACATGGTGTCATTAACCTGCCACGCATTAGAGAGCTCATAAAAAATGCAACTCTCACACCACATTAACATCGTCCTTAAAGAACTGCACTCTCCTGCAAACATTAATTGAGTAATAAGTGTTCTGATTTCTTTTTTTTCACTCTCTCCTGGATCCTGCTTTCTGCTCGAATGGAGACTACAGCCCCTTGCTGTGATTGCCAATTATATGAAAAAGGGCTGAATCCCTTTGCATGGCTGGTAAGAAGGAATGTCCTGATGAAACTATAACCACATGCATCACCCTCAAAGCACTTGCCTCCAATAGTCTCCAATATCCACCTCCTGAGCACAATGGCAGTAATCACCTGTCTTGGTGAGTTGAACATTTAAATAATTTCATCTGCTATATGGTACTTTGGGAAAAGAAATCAGTTTACATCATGTTATTCTGTGAAGCCAAAAATGGGAAAAAAAAATGTTTAGAGGCAGGGAGGGGGAAAGAGAAAGAAAAAAAAAATTGAGATAATTGCAAGGTTTGACTTGCTCACATCCCCCCCAACTCCAGCTGCAATCTAGCCTTGTGCGTGGTAATTGCAGAGTGTGCCAATACAGGGAATCTTCTGAAGGGGAAGCTCAGAGACGGTTTTGATTTTACAATGGCTAGAAGGATCTTGGGAGCCAGTGTTTTCTCCTGAATCACATAAACTAAATCTGGGAAATCCCATCCTGATAGTCTAATATGATAATATGATAATTTTCAACCCCATGGCTACACACTTCTTAGAACTACTTTAAATCAGGATCTTAGTGTTGCTGAGAAGGATGTGGAAATTCAGTGAGACGGGGTGAACTTGTCATGGCGTGAGGCACTGCTCCTCAAATGGAGTTTAGGGGCCTGGGAAGAACCTCTCTGCAGGTGCTCGTCCCTGCTACCGGTGGTATCCTGCTTCCCTGGTGTTCCTGTTTCACTCCTGCTGCTCTTGCCTGGCTGTGCTGCTATGGAGGGTCAGAGGTGCTGAACCCCTGTGCCTACTTGGAGGCTTGCAGCACGTTGCTTCAGACAGATCTCCTAGGTCTGCATCAGCTTAAATCTATTTAAGAGCACCTCTCTCTCCATCTGCTCCCTCTATTTCATCTGGTGGGACCAGAGCAGAAGCAGGATCAGCTGCTAAACCAGAAGAGCAGCTGCTGAAGATGGGCACTGCTGAGCCGAAGGTGTCTTCGTGGCAGTACTAAGGACCTCACCCCATTCCAAATATCCCTACAGCCTTCAATCACTGCAAACCAAAGTCAAACAAAGTAATTAAAAAATGGGAGGTTTTTTTAGACTTGCCCTCTGGTCAAACTGCCATAACACAGGCTTACAGAGCCACGCTGGTTCTTCCTTGCAGGAAAAGCAATATACTTGTCACAAGCAACACAGTCTTCCTTCATTTCCTACCAGCTGCCTACGTGAAAGAGCTGAGTACACAGCCCAAGCTGGACTTCCAAAAAGCAACTGCAAAGGAACAGCACTGAGCAACAATCAATGTCGGCTTACAGCGAAATCTGGAATTAAGCACAGACAGACAGGACTGCTGGGAACACGGCCGGGGCAGTGGCCAGGCACGGGCATGGCAACTGCTCGAGTAAGATGCAGACGACAAAGCCAAGCTCAGGACCACATGGAGCTCATGCGTATTTCAGGGTGTACTTTTATCTCATGCTCTGTATTGCGACATTCTAAAATCCTTAGCATCAGGAGTTCATTATAAATATTTAGAAACACTGAATGATAACAGCGGTGAACTTGTTCACGTTGCTAACACACTGGATGTAACTGTACATTAAGCACCAGCAATAAGTTTCCTTTTTGCCAAACAATTATGTCAGACAAACATCTGGTTGTAGACAACATGGCTTCTGCATCAGACTAATACAGTTCTTATAGACACAGTCACACACATACACAAAATTACATTTCAAGGCTGGATATACTGTTTAATAATGCTACCGCCCCAATTTACTTCGATAGCTGCAGCAGCATTTGTTTGTTGGGTTGTTTTTCTCAGAAAAATTAAAGAAATATTGGCAAACAATGCACATTACTCAGCTGTGTTACGATTTCACTGGAAGACGCTATAAGAATGTGCAGCAGACTTTCTGGGTCATGTCAGACTATGGAAACATTCCTTATAAAAATACCTTACCCCTGCAAAGTCAGAATTATTCACTCTTTGAGAGTAAAGGAACTAAAACCCAATAATAAAATAAGAGGAAATATTAGCCCAAAGCATGGTGATTTCCCACAAGAAGAGCATGGCCTCTAAGGTTGCCTTTCCTGGCAGGCGCAATCAGGATCAAAGCTAGAACAAAAGAGTTAACACTGTCTCAGAAAAAAAGAAAAAGGAAGAAAGAAAATAAGCCCATGGCTCTTGTGCGGCAATCATCACATCTCTTTTTCCAGTGATATAAACATCTTTGTTTGTTAGGCACTCCAAGTTCATGTCTCCGATGTTACTCCAACATTTACTTTTCTCAGTGTCTCACTGCCTGTATAATTTTCTTTTAATTAAGACTGGAAACATTCTGGAAAGCTTCTTTGGATAATGCACTTTTGTTTGTGTGTTGTTTCTCATCAGCTGAACTGCATATTACCAAAGAAGGCTGCAGAGAGTATTTCCTGTAATATGAAAAGATTCTATTGAAGATAAAGGGAACACTGCCCTAGAAAGTTACTACTTTTTTTTTTTCCAGAAACATTAAAAAAAATCAAAAAATAAAAAAAAAAAAAAGGAAAAGAAAATGTTCTTCAAGTTGTTGGCACGATGGAGTCCTGTTTGGCCTGTCTCACAGGCTGTGTGTCATCCAGCACACCACTGCTCTCCTGGCTCAGGAAGGATGCTCTTCATCAGACAGACACCCCTGCCCCAGGAAGGCCACCTCTGGCCTTGCTTGGAGTGCTCCTGTGTGTTGTGTGCTGCTGCACAGTGGCCACCAAGCCCAGCACACATCCCCCTCCTCGACAACGTCGGCCTTGGACAGCAACACTGATCTTCCTGCCATAAACAGTTGCAGTAGTAAGAGCCATCTCCAGCCAAATGTCCACAAAAGCTCTGCAGAATGGTCCATATGCATTTTTGTCCTTGTAAGGAGATGTGCTGTTTACAAGAAATACAATTAACCAAAGGAAAAAAAAAAAGACCCTACTGTACAATATTTACATCTAGAGGCTGGGCCGGTATTTGGTCCATAAAATCAATTAAAAAAAAAATCATATAGGAAGTTATCCAGTCCTGTAGGATCTGTCCATCATCAGCTGTTGGTAAAGGTCCTTCCAGGGGAGGCCTCAGGCCTGTAGTCATATTTATTCAGTGTACTGGGATAATAGGTTGTTGTGTACACATTGGTTTGCTGCAACGGGTAGAAGTTGGTCCTGTCGTCTGGTATCAAATTGTTCTTGTTAAGTGTCTGCAAAAGAGAAGAGGAGATGACAGGCATGGCAACAGTGCTACATAATTACTCTTTTCTACCTGTAGACAGCTCCCTCTCACCTGCCTTCTCCATCACGGTCTCTCTGCTGTGGCCACCACCACCTTCCCTCCAGCTGGGAGAGTAAGAGGGTACCTCGCACTCGCTACGGGGCTGGTCTGTGTGGGATCACAGCTCCTGCCAGGTCTCCTGCAGTGGACCTGTGCTCAGCTACTGCTAGGGATGGAACCCAGAGCCTTCTCCAGAGACCTGGAGTCTCCTGGTAGATGGCGTGTCGTCCAAACACCATTGTCACACAAAACCATGCTGGGCCTACACAAAGGTTGGTGATTAATGGCAGCACTGAGTCTAACCTCTTCCAAAATGCTCATGGTACAGCCTGCAGCTCCCTCTCATACCAGTTGCCAAAAGGCAGCTTTTCTCTTTGGAAGAGCAGGTGTGCATTTACCTGATCTCCATCTCCATTGGTAGATATCCAGGTTTGGACCCCCCGATATTAAGTGTGTCACTTCTGTAAGCTACAGTATAAGTAACAAATCATGGTCACTTTTGGAAAATCTAAAATTACTCAAAAAATTTAACAACCACGTAACAATTGTTGGTGATGATGAGAATGATGGTAACAATAACATAAAAAATGAGAATGACAAATGCCCCTTTTACCACAAAAATTTAGAAATGTTTCTTTTCTCCCTCCCCTCTTCCCACCAGCAAGCAGAAGTCTCCCTCTCCCCAGATTAAAGCCCATTGCTATGCCAGCTGTTACCTATGTACAAGGATAAAATCACATTTTATGTGTGTGTTTGCAGTAATTCTATGGAACTTTCTTTTACCTCATTATCATCTATGAATTTGTTCGAGGAACTTTTATAACACTTTTTTCAACTACCCCTGGATTAAATTTCTTATACCTATCTCAGATCTCTGTCACTGAGCAGTGCACCTTTAATGGCTGCTGTGCAGAGAACCCACTCCTTTGATCTGGGAGCCAACACTAGGCGTGCTGCTACAGCATCCTTATGTTCAGGGCTCATTTAATTAACAGCACGTTTAAACCCAGTAGGAGCATCTCTCCTGTCAGGAGCAGAAGTGGAGAGATCTCATGAGGCAACAATCCTGGGGCCTAATGGTTGTTCTGCCACAACTCAACGTTCCTGGGAGAACCACTTTACCTCAGTTCCCCCTTGAGACAAACACCTCATACCTGACCCAGCTCAGGGCATGATGAAAACTTATTAACTAATGCTCAAGTCCATGAACAACCCACCTCCGTGAGCTTTACCTGACCCATCTAACTTCAGTCAACTCAATTTCAGGCATTGTGGTTCTGTCAAAGGCAAGAAGACGACTCCTTTCTATGTGAGGGCAGGTGCAAATGAAAATTTCTGGGTAGCCCCTGAGCCCCCTCAGCCCCAGCAGCAGTGGGGTGACCTGACACCACTGGAGGCCCAGCTTTTAGGAGGCTACAGCTGGCAAGTGGGGTCTCACGCTGTGCATGTGCCCATTGCACGGTCAGGGCTTAACCACATCCCAGCTGTGACCACTGAAATGATCAGCTACCCCAGGCTCAAAGACAAGACCACAGGCAGTACATTATTCTCCCGATTTCTTCGTAATCAAATCGTTTTACTGTGTGAGGAGGGGGAGAGGAGGAGGAAGAAAAGAAAATGCTTTCTTCTAATCAGATAGCAGATTGACAGCTACAGCTACCCTGGGAGCTAACAACTCCCAGTTTCATTCAAGACATTAGGAGGAAAAACTTTCCTATGACAAAAGGATCCTGCAAAGAAATTTCCCAATTGCTGAACAACCGAATAAGTTTTTCAGAAATGAGCACTGCCTGAAACATCTCAGCCATGAAAGCTGGAAGAGACTCAGCCCCCTCCTGGTCTGACAGCAATGTCTCCCTGCCTGGAGTCTCTAAAATGAGCCCACAGCACAACAGTTGTAAGAACCAAGGAGAGAATTTGTATAGGCATGCTGTGACAAATATTTTCAAAGAATGAGAATTTGTGCCCTTCAATATGAAAGAAAAGAAATGTCATGCTTTGCTCCCAGTCACCTGAAAAAATATTAAGGTAGTGGGGACAACAGTCAGATGCTTTTTGCTGGAGCCTGGGAAACATGGAAGTCCTCAGTCCTCCCCTGCTTGCTGTGCTTCCTTGGGAAATCCAATTAACTGCTCTCTGCTTCTGCATCTTCTGACTCAGCTTGAGAAAAACCTTTGAGCTCCCTGGAAAAATGCACTTTACTAAGTACTACCACTGAGTATTTGGGGGAACTGCTCTCTGGTGAACCCCCCGGGTGTTCATATCAGCTGTACACAATGAATGCTGTTTCCTGTTGGTGTTTCTAGCCCAGGATACCCACAGTAGGCACCATAACTCCATGGCCACAGTCTGCCACAGCAGGAGGAGGAGGCTGAATCCCACTTCTGCAGTTTCTCTGGGCTCTCTTGAAGGTGGTCCAGTATCCAAGCCTTGTCTGGGTCACTTTTTGGGATGGTTAAGATTCATGACATGCCAGGAGTACCATGTCTGAAACTTAGTGACATCAAAATTCTGACCTGGAATAGTTCAGAACTGTCTTGATCCAAGGATAAAGACCTCAGGACTCAATTCTTTTGGCTTTCAGATGGAAAATCTATATGAGTTTCAACATGTCCCATAGTATTCAAAACTAGCCCACTACAACAGATGTAGCATTTAATTAACATGATTTGCATTTTTCCCCTCTCTCTCTTCTTATTTTCATATAATACCTAATTAGGAAAAACCCCACAACTGGTCCTTTGCTCTTTTTGGTTTATTTTTGATGGAGGGCTTGTATCTTAGGGAAAATACCTTACGACAATGGTTTGTGGAATTTACAATGCAATTAGCTGCAAATAATTTATCTCCGGAAATGCTGTGATGGCAGTACTGTCCTAAATCAGCATGATCAATGTGCACTGCCTTCCCATTTCCCCACACAAACTTACTGTCTGTCTCATTTTAATAAATAGATTATTATGTTCCTTGGCACTAGAAATTGGTTGGTATTTTGAAGAAGGGAAATTAGGCAGCAATGAATTTAGAGATGTACACAGACACACTCATGCATTCACTGCAGGAGAAGGGGTGTGTGCAGTTAAATCTCTCTGGGTGGACTCACGTGCTGCTTTACTCAGAGCTTTAATCCCTGCTCCCATCCTGCAGTGCTGTGACAGTACAGAGATGGCCAACAACCTTCCCTTCAGAAGATATTTCCCCAACGTTATGTGTGTTATGCCATCAAGGTCAGAGCCTCCCGACACCCTGAACTCACTGGAGTTACTGTGGGGATGAGAACAGCCTGCTGCACCCACAGGTGTTCCCACCAATACTCGTCAGCCCCAAAAAGAAAGGCAGGAGTCATCACCACTGCACAACTACAGTTGTGCAAACACAAACAAACACGCAATCGAACACAGAACACACCCTGGCTCCCAGCCCAACTCCTGCGTCTCCACCTCAGTCACCTCTGAGCCAAGTCCCCACTATTACAGGGGCCAAGAAGTGGTTGCTGAAGACAATACCAACCAGTCCTCCTAAAAGGCTTTTGCAGGGACTGATCAGTGGCTGACGCAGCACAGCAAGCACTGGAGCTCAGGGTGTCCTCACTAGAGCTTTCAGAGAAGGAAAGGAGACTTGGCTTTGCAACGTGAGCCCTCCTGCATCCTCCAAGGAGACATGTTACTCATCTGAGCACCCTCCAGACCTCACTGACGACATTTTTCCTGACACTCAACCTGCATTCTCCCCTTGCTGTCTGCTCCCTCCCATATGAAACACTACTGACTCCCCTTGACAGCAGCTACAACCTTTTAGACTGTCTGCTCAGTAAGCAGATAGAACCAAAAGTCTGACCAACGTTTACTGCTGCAACAGTACATGCTGCAAAATCTCTGTGCCGTACACACAATGTATTTCAAACACTGAGGAAAATGTATTTCAGGCCCTCATTGTGGTCCTATCCTGCCTTGAGAAAAAAGAAGTTTCTGGTATTTGTGCAAGCATAATATTCCCCATAAAAAGTGAGTCTAGACTTCAAGCTAATATGAAACCCTGTGGGATGTGCTTAGAAAAAGTGCTCCATTCAACTACTAACTAGTTCTTTTACCTGCTTCCTCCCTTCCAGTATGACCCATGCCATCTCAGCATATTTAATAAAAGCTTTTTCCTCTGGTCTGTTCACCACTAACCTCAATTCAAGGACCTGCTAGCAGAAGGTAAGTCACTTGCTCGCACTAACCCAACCAGGCAGATCACTCAAAAGCAGGCACAACTTAACTGCTTTCTTTAAATGACTTTTGACTATGCTGCATTGCCATATGACTAATATAATTTTTAAAAATCTATGATCCAGGAATTCTGCTTTGTTGAGCAGGGATGTTTTCTGATGGACTAAGATGGTTATGGCTTTAAGAGAATGTAAAAGAGCAGCAGCTCGCTCCAGTATACATGATCTGTCAACTAACCAAAAGGTCCAGTCTTGTTGTCAGTGAATTGCATGTCTATGCCAAGCACAACAGAATCCTGAGTCTTTCAATATTTACAGAACTATATGAACAACTTGTGATCACTCATGCTTGTGTATTAGCAATTAGAACTGGAAGAGTCCGAAGGGAAGGGTTACAGATATCTCCCTTGTGTTGGGCTCTGCCTCCCGGAATAAACACCGGAGGCAGAACATTGACATGGAATTGCAGGCTGTTTCTCCCGAGGTACAGCCAAATGTGTTAAACATGACTGTATTGTACCATATGCATACATTTAACTTTGTTCAGCTTTCTCCATTGATATTTTTAGCCTCAGCCATCATTCAGATTTTCCATTTGTTCCTTTTTCTCCAGCAAGGCCTTGCAACTACTCCCCAAAATTCTGCTTCTGCTCCAAATCATTAAGTCATTATCCACTGACCTTCTTGCTTACATTCTCCCAGATGTATCAAAACATCTT